CCCCCCCATCAGCGCGTACTCCTCTGCTGCATTGGACATCTACATTCTGCGGGTGCTGGCCAACTCCTGGAAGAAATACAAGAAGCTCAGGAGCGACATGAAGGCCATCAGCGACGAGTTCGGCAAACAGGTACGACATGCACCGCCGAATCCTCCTGGGCACGTGCGTGCATCCTTTTCTCTCTCTCTGTGTGTGCGTGTAGCTGTTTGGCGAGTTGAACTACCAGCAGGAGGCCCGCAACTGTGAGAGATTCGGGCAGCTGTTCGGCCAGGGCAAAGTGGCGGGCATCCAGGTGCCCAAATGCTACACGCAATACACGTCACGGTAAGTCGGTCGGTCGGCAGACCCACGCCGACACGTGCACAGCGCGCCAACCCCACACAATGATGTCAATCGTCTGTCCGTCTCTGTTGGCGGCGTCTTGTGTGGGTGAATGGATGGATGTGTGCAGGCGTGTGTTGGTGCAAGAATGGGTAGAGGGTGAGAAGGGTCCCTGGCGGCAGGACGGCCAGCGGCTCCTCATGCTTGGCCTCCAGTGCTCCGTCCTGCAGCTCTTCGAGTCCGGCTTCTTCCACGCAGGTTGGCCCCTTCCGCCAAACACACACACACACACACACACAGTGATCTTGAGTGTTGAGTGGGTGTGGCGGTCAGATCCCCATCGTGGGAACCTTCTGAGAACACCCGACGGTTCGCTGGCTTATCTGGATTTTGGCATGATGGCCAATGTCACCGAAGAGAAGAGGTGCACGCGGCAGCACTCACAGACACACACACACACACACACACAAGCGGCCACCCACCGTGTGTGTGTTGTGTGGCGTGGCGTGTCAGGTATGGTCTCATCGGCACGTTGCTCGGCTTGCAGAACAAAGACATCGGCCTCGTGGCAGAAAACCTGGTGACACTGGGGTTCCTGCCCGACGAGACGCAGTTGGACGTTGTCGTCCCTGCGCTCGAGAACGCCATCGCCGATGCGTCAGGTACGAGTGGCCGGGGGAGGTGGGGGGGAGGGGGAGGGGGTTTAGTGACCAAAGTGGTTCACGAGTTGCATCTTTTTTGTGCGCTGACTCCTTCCTGTGTGTATGGGTGTGCGTCAGGGGGGCGGGGGACGTCTCGACTCAACTTTACCAGACTCAACGAGAATGTCCAGGAGATATCATACCTGCTGCCGTTCCGCATCCCACCCTTCTACGCGACCATCGTCCGCACACTCACCATCCTTGAGGTAAGCTGCCAGCACAGCATGTCAACGAATGACACCTACATGCATACACGCACTGGTTGTTGGTGTGCAGGGTCTGGCGCTGAATGTGGATCCTGATTTTCGTCTCATTCGCGGGAGCTACCCCTACGTGGCTCGCCAGATCCTCGAGTCCAACTCCTGGGCGCTCCAGCGGCTGCTGCAGCGGTTCCTCATGACGCCCCAAGGCCGCATCGACTGGAAGCGCCTCGAGCAGCTGCTGCAGCTCGCGTCAGCCGCTTCCAGCAACGACTACGCCACATTCAAGAAGGTGCCATTTGCGCGCGATGGATGGATGCACTGGGGCCATTCATTGTGTGTGTCGTCCATGCCATGCATCAATATAATGTGTGCAGGCGCAGAAGAAGAGCGACCTGCGTCGGTTCTACAACCGGACATTGGTCGACCAGCAGCAGCAGGAGGAGGACGATGAGGACCTGCACATCTCCACCGCTGTGGTCTTCCAGATCCTCGACTTCCTCTTCTCACCCAGAGGCGAGTTCCTCCTGGAGGCCCTCATCAACGAGATGGTTGACGTCGTCGATGACGTCGGCCTCGCCACCGCCGGCCTCGCATCCATCGCCAGGTATGTCTCTGTGGGAGGGAGGGAAAGAGGGTGGGAGAGAGTACGGAATTGTTTGTTTGTTTGCCTGTCCAAATCTCAGCGGAGGTATTCTCGCGCGCCCGACGGAGCTGCCGGATCGCGAGAGGCTGGAGCTGGTGCTGCGCCTGGCGCTGCGGCTGGCTGATGCCCGCCCCTCACCAGCAGCATCAACATCCCCGCAATCTCAATCTCCCCTCCTACCCGCCGCATTCAGCTCCTTCATGGCTACCACGACCAACGGCCAGCAAAGCGGTCAACAGAGGCAGAGTGACGTCCGGCGGTTCGCGGAAAGAGTGGTGGCTCTCCTAAGGGATCCCCGCACGAGCAGCCAGTTCAGCACAATCATCCAGAAGGGAGGCGGCGTGGCGGCCGAGGTCTTGCGGCGGCTCTTCGAACGGTCCACTCAGCGCGCCTTCCGGCAGGGCGTGGAGGCCGTCCTCAACCCGACCGCCCTGGGCCTGGCGGGCAATGCCCTCAGCATCCTCTCGCAGACTCTCACGCCACCATCACCGCCCAACACTGCAGGATCAACGCAGCAGCAAAAGCAGATGCAACAACAGGCCGATGGGTCTCCCCGAGCTGGCGATGGCGGCCGGCGGGGAGGGAGGCGGCGCATGCGGCGTGTGAGTGACTTCAGCAGCGGGTCGGTGTCGTCCTTCGATGACGGCAGCAAGGGTGGTAGGCGGGGAGGGAGGAGGGGAATGCGACCGAGATAGGGACAGAGATGGCCTGGTGGGGGGAGGGATTGATACGTGTGTGCGGAAGGGAAAGAGACGACTTACGAGACAGACGTTTTGTGTGCGGGTTTTGTGTGCGAGAAGATCTGAGGGAGAAAGAGAGGGGAGGGGTGTGAGAGGCACGAGCATGGCGTGGCATGCGATGCATGCTGTGAAGGCCGTGTTTTGGGCAGGCAATGCCGCACGAGCGGGCGAGTCTTATGCGATGCGATTGCGATGCGATGCGTCTTGTGTGTGTGGGGGTGGGTGTACAGAAGGACTGACTTATCTAGTAGGGCTTTATAATATACAGCAGTGTGACGTACGTGTCAGTGCAATCAAATGCGGCTCAGCTGTCCACAGTGTGTGTTGCCAATCCTTCAAACTCCTTGAACCTGAGCCAGCCGGGTTTACAAATACAATACAATACTGGGTGTGCATGAATATGTCCGTCCGTGTGGTATGTATGGGTGTCCTGGCCATATGGGATGGCATCCACACGCGGCAGTCATACAGGCATCATTGTTGATAAAGAGCACACCACCCATAGCATAGCAGTGCAATCAGGCCATGCACACCGTCACCCACCACAGCCACTAATTGACACGCACGCACATTTCCAGCTCTCCCCATAATCCTAAATCACACAGGCCGACGCACAGGCGCCCATCAATACCAGCAGTAGCAGCAGCCATCGACACCAGGAGCAGCAGCAGCAAGAGAGCCTGGATGAACAGGCTGGTGTTGCTGCACCCCTCCCCCCAGTCAGTCCCTCTTCCCCCTCAGGTATGCTTCTGATGTGTTGGCGCATATGCTTGTGACGCAAAGAAGCACCCGTGCATCCATCCATCCACCCAGTGGCTTAGCACCCAGCGCACAAGACGCACAGCCTTAGTGTATCTCTCATCCACGGCGAGCGCAACAAAGAAAAAGCCAGAAGCAGGACGAAGGAAGGACAGGTCAGCACGTGACCTGCTGCTGCTGAGTGGCGGTATCTCCCCCGTCTGCTGCCGCTGGGGGTGGTCCTGGCTGCTGGCACCTTCTCGTACTAGAGCCATGACACCTCCTCGCGTCGTACCCGCGCCACACCTTCTGAATCTTCACACACGCCCTCCTCAGAGCAACCAGCCGAATAATGGCCTGCACGAGAAACGATGTCTACGCTGTGCGATGTGATCCGCTATTGCGTGTGTGTGTCATCCACCCATTGTGTACAGTACCTGAATGAGCCTCTGCCTCCGAAAGTGGCGAAACACCCTCGTCACGACCACAGCTGCCATCCCGTGAACCACCTCAGCCTCGTCGAGTGTCCCGATGCCCATATGTAGCAGACAGTGGACGGAGCAGTGAGCGACCGGGAGTGAGGATCACAACGATGGAGTCCGCTTTCCTTAGATCTCGCCTCGCCACACAGCCGTATCAGCCCATTCAACTCACGCAAGGCCAGCGGTGCTGCCTTTGGGGTTGGCGCAAGACCCTTGCCATCTTCACGGGTTTGTTCCGTGCCCTAAGCGTCTGAGCTCGCATGAGTTTTTACTGACCGTCTTAATTCCGCTCCGTCAGCAGCAGGCCCCTGAAGCCACAGCCCCCAGTAGCCAAAATGTCACTGCAGGAGTCCAGGATGTCGAACAGCGGGACACTCAAACGTACGCCTGTGGGCGAGCACTGCATAGCAGTGCAGAAAGGGATGGCTGGATGACACAAGCTCATTGAGGGCCTACTTGAGTCTTCTTTCCCTCCTGTGTGTGTCAATCAGGCATCAACAGCGCCGACAAGGGGTGAGAAGCGAGGCAACCGAGCCCCACCGGGAATGTCGTGTTTCATGGTGGATGGGATGGCTGGCGACTGTGTGCAGGCTGAGCCTGCCCCCGATGAGCATCGACGCGCCGACTCGCGGCCCAGAGTACACACGCGTGTTCTACAGCAGGTCGGTCGGGCTGGCCCATTGCAAGCATTCTCTGCACGGTCTGTCTGTCTGTCTATGTGTCTGTCACACAGGTCAAATGCCGTGTACGGCTCGCAGCAGCCGTCTCGGCTGGAGCCGCCCAAGCACGGCCTCAATGGCAGATACGCGGAGCTGCTCGCCAAGGCCGGCCCTTACAGGTGGGCAAATGGACACACACATGGGAGGGAGGGAGGGAGGGTGAGTGAGTGGGGCATGGCGACGGTGCATCCACCACCAATTGTGTGTGTGATGTAGGTATTTCGGCCTGAAGACCAAGGTGGACACGGCTCGGTGGATCGATGGCGAAAAGGACTGGATTGACAAGTCGATTTGACATGTATACTATTCATGCCGTCAATGCTCGACCACCGACTCTGTGCACTCGAACATTCGTCAGTGTTGGCGCTTGCTGGGGAAGGACTCTTATGTGTCTCGAGTGCATGTGTAGTGTGTGAATGAGGGACGCCTCGCGCGTGTGCGCGCGTGTGTGTGTGCAAGTGGCAGTGAAGGACCCTCCTATTTATCTATCTATCCATCAATCCATCGTCAGTCAGCCACCCCGCATGCACACGACACAGCCGTCCACTCGGGTCGGTCAGGAGCCGTCCGTCGGTCGCTCTATCTCTCTATCTCTCTCTGTCTCTGTCTCTCTTGGCTGATGGGTTACAAGGATCGAACAGACTCACAGGCAGGGAGCGAGGCAGAGAGGTAGGTAGGTACAAAACAGACAGACACAGAAGAGACCTCTAGACCCTGCTGGCTGCATGTCTCACAGCTATAGCAATTGCACATTCATCCATCCATCCACTCATCGGTCGGCCGGTCCGCGGCCTAAATGCCGCAGCAACCAGCCCAGATACATACACACACACACACAGGTAGGTAGGTACACAGCCAGTACGTCTTCGCCGATCGGTCAGAAGATGGATCGATGCGGGCGTGTAGCTATCTATGGGCTCACTCACTCTCGACGGAACGGACGGCTACCTCCAGGTTTTTGCGGAGGCACCCACCCCCCCATGGCCACCCACGCCGCGCCCCAGACCGCAGCTTGTTTGTCGTTTACGTCATTATTTCTCAATAACAAAAGCACAGCATCGCATTCATTCATTACGTATGGACGTACGTATGCAGCACTTACCACTTAGCACATGAGGTATAGCACATAAGAGAGATATATCGATGAGCCCATCGATGGATGCCACACGCGCACACGCGCACACGCACACACGCCACGCTTTTCCTGTACATAACCATACACACACACACACAGAGACAGACAGACAGAGACAGACCGATATCCCTCCCTGTACAACAACACGCCACGGATGGGAGAGTGTGTGGGGGTGTGAGAGCGCCTTTTGCACCACACAGGCAGGCCGGAAAAAACAAGCAGAGCAAGTAGGGAAGGAAGGAAAAGCACGCAGACAGGCAGACAGGCAGACACGCACACCGCACCATACCGCACCACGCCAGTCGTCAGCATTAGAATGATATGTACGACAGGTATGCATCCGATGCACCTCTATGACATGACATGATGTGGCCAGCCACATCCGATGGCATCACCCGCACGGATGAACGTTGCAGAAAAGAACGTCAACATCAACGGGTGGGCAGGTCGGCAAATGGATGGATGGATGGATGGACGGATGGACGGCATGGCATGGCGGCCGCTGAGGTGAACTGGCCGGGCCGCCATCTCTCCTGTCTGTCTTTCTGTCTCCTTCTCTCTCTGTGGGTGCTCACTAAGTGTGTTGTATGTGCGTTGCCTGCGGGCGGAAGGCATGTGATGTGCCACATCACACCCGGCAGACACGTATCGTGGTCATCATGAAGCATGTCAACCTGATGCGGCAGGATTCATGCCAACCACAGCGCGTGCACCGCACACCCCTGTGTTACGTGACCGCATTGATCCAAGCCGCCGTGCGCCCGCCCTCCCTCCCTTTCTCTCAGGCCGCCACGCCAGGAAAAATATGGAGGCACTTAGTGAAGTTGTGACGACTGAAACACCTATGTTTGTATGGACGGATGAATGGATGGATGGATGTACCTACCTGAATTGTGGGAATGAGTGAGTCAGTGGGTGAATGGGTGGGTGGTGGGGTGGGGTGGGTGCGATGTGACGTCAGCCATGACAGACAGACACGTACGGACACACACAGGTACACTACACACACGTGCGATCGAGCTGGTCAGCACACACAGACAGACAGACAGGTAGACAGATTGTGCGGGCGTGGTGATGTGTTATGTTATGGCTGTGGTGCGAGACCCTCCCTCCCGCCCTCTCTCCCTGCCTCCCTGCAGCCAGTAGGTCAATTCATCAAATGCAGAAAATAGATAAGATACCTGGCTGTCTGTCCATGGGCGGGGGGCTGGGCGGGTGGATAGATGGATGGATGTGTGCACTGAGTGAGTGAGTGAGTGAGTGTGCGGGTGGGTGGGTGAGTGCGATCGATCGATCGATGGTATGGATGGTAGGTATGAAGTGGCACAACCCCCTTTCTGTCTCTCTTGTCGGTCTGGCTGGCTGGCTGGCTGTCTGGCTGTCGGGCTGTCTGTCTGCTCAGGTCGTTCCTTCCCCTGCCAGTCACCGATGGATCGACATAGAGAGATTAGTCAGCCCAACAACCATTACCCACCCACCCCCACGGCTGTCTGTCTTTGCGTCGGTCTCTTTCCCCTCACACCACCCACATGAGCGAATTCTCTCATCATCTGTGGCTGCCTCTTCCTTCGTTGGTTCGTTCGTTCGTTGGTTTGCCTGCCTGATTACATTTCCGTCTGTCTGTCTATCATCCCGGACCCCGCGCACAGGCACAGCACAGAGAGTAGCTAGCTATGAGCATGTCACACGCACACACGACACACGGACATCCAATGAGCAAACCAAGCCAAAGAGAAATAGAGAAAACACAGGAGCGGTTTCTTGCTCCTTTCGTGCACACAATCACGTCATGCAGGCGCATACACACAGACAGACAGGCAGACAGGCAGACAGGCAGACAGGCAGACAGGCACCACAGACACTTGACTCACTGACCCAACGAACCCATCGATGTGCGCAGCGCATCCATCACACACATACACAGAGAGGAAAGTCCAGAAGGTATGACTAGTTATCCACGCACACACAGACAGACAGACAGGCACATACATACGCACACACATATGTAAGACACCACACCACAGCAACCAAGCCAAGCTACCCTCCCCCCACCACTCACCATCTCTCCCGCCATGCAAGCCTGCCATGGATCGTTGTCGAATTGTTTGCCTATACAGACACCGCCGACCGCTTGGTGCATCCACATCACATACACACCCGCTCCCTCCCGCTCCCTCCCTCCCTCTCCCAAACAAAGCCACCCCACCCACACATCCCTCTCCCTCCCCGCCCTCAGCAGCAGCATCCATCGTACACAGATAGCAAGATAGATAAGAAAACCCAGATAAACAAGACATGTCAATAAACAAGCGAGCCGAGCAATCAACAAGGAAGCATCACTGTGTCTGTCTATCGCATCGCATCGCATCTCACCCACAGACAGACAGACAGATGCAGACACGGTCGAATGCCCCCTTTCCCTCCCTCCCTCCCTCCCTCCCTCTCTCCCCGCAATACATCCATCACACGGCCACAGGTAGTGCCACCCTGAGCATGCCGATCCTTGGGTGCTTGTGGGGCCGCTTGGTCACGATGCTCTCGCACGCCATCTGGTGCTTCCTCCCCCCTCCCACCACTCCTCCTACGCCCTTGTCCTCGCACTCGCCACCCCGCCGCTGCTGCTGCTGCATCTGCTGCATCGTCACGCACACGTGCATCCCCCTCCCCGCCTCCCTCTCCCTCTCCCTTTCGCGCTTGCTGCACGAGCCTGAGACGCTGCCCACATCCACTGCGTCGTTGTTGTGCTGCCCATTGTGTCCCCGCTTGAGGAAGCAGAGGAGGGAGGCGACGACATCGTCGCTGGGTCGTGTGAAGGTGGGCGGTGGGCGGGGGGGCTTGGGGGGGAGCGACTGGGGTATGGGCAGGATGAGGGGGCGGGTGCGGCGCGATGATGGCTTGGGCGGGTAGCCGTCGAAGAGCGCCAGACGCAGACCTGATATATCGGATGGATGGAAGGAGGGAGAATAACACATCACATCACATGGGATGGGGGGTGTGTTTAGGTTGTTTGTTGCTGTGTCTGCTGTGCTGTGCTGTGCTTACCGTCGTCTTGGTGGATGGGTGCGATGGGTTTGGGGTCGAAGGGGTCACTGGTCGGCTTGGCGGTGACGGAAAACAAATAGTTGCCACACATCAGGCAGTGGACAGCTGACACACACACACACACACACACAGCCAGCCACACAGACAGAGAGAGATGCGTGCATCACCTCAGACGACGCCAACACACATCGCTCCCCGCCCTTCGCCCCCTCCTTTTTCTCCGTACCTGCGTCACTATTCCTGTGTGAGCACCGCCAGCACGTGACACCACCCCTGCACCCTCCCCCTGCAGCGGCTTTCTGCTTCTGCTTGACCCCACTGGCACCCCCCACCCCGTGGCCACCCTCATGGTGGCACGACGACCCCTCTGTGGTCGTCACTTTGTCGACGCGCCGCCTGCCGGTGGGCGTGGGGGTCCGATCGTCATAGATGTAGCCATTGACGACCCGCTCGGGACCCCGCTCCATGTAGATGGCTATCGCATCGTCGATGGGCATCGCTAAGCCTGCCCTTACTGCTGCTGCTGCTGCTGCTTGCTGCTGCAGAGAGAGATGGTCGGGCCACTCGGCAACCAGCAGAGAGAGACGCGGAAGGGATGAGGGAGTGCCGTCACTCAGCTTGAGGGCATTCCCCTCTCGGCTGGCTGCTCTGCTGCCCGCCCTGCCGAGTCAATGGGAGACCGTTGCTTACGTCGTTGCTGCTGCTGTCGTTGCAAGGGCAGCCTGCCCCACCTGCTGTGATTGTGTGGTGGTTGCTGCTGCAGGTCAGTCACTGCCACTCAGACAGACAGACAGACAAGCAGACAGGCGAGAGATGGATGGAGCGGCGAAGCAATGAGAGAGGAGCTGGTGAGGGTCGGTCAGGCTCGTGGCCTGGAGCTCGGCAGCTCGGGCGCATCCATTCCTCCGAGTCCACTTGCGAGCTTAGCCGTTGGAGGAACGGGAAGAATAGTGGCCAGACTCCTCGCCGCGCGGGAGGCGTCCAGAGAGTTTTGGAGAGGAGAATCCAAAACCACAGCCACTCCCGAACCGTGGCGGTTGGTTCAGACTGCGCAAGATCTCGGGCGGAGGCACTGCCGTCTCCTTCCTTCATAGACGATGTCAAAGTCAGAGGTGTAATGTCAGACGATTCCCCACCGATCTCCCTTGATATCTACATGCACTCCCTGGCAGGACTCCTGCCTAGTGCTGCCACTCACACAGTCGCCCAGCCTGTCTGTCTCATTGTCCCCTACTTGGCCACTCAGATCAGATCAGCACGATGGGCTGCGCATGCGGCAGCTTGTATCTGCCCGAAAACACCAGACCCTCCCCTGCCCCTTCCTCCCCCTCCTTTTCGCCCCTGCCACACAGTATCTTGAGAGCCCCGCCGCTCAGCGAGTGACCAAACATCACAACTACCCTCTCACCATCGCCCCCTGTCTGTTGCTCTCGACTCGCAATCTCATCAAGCAGCTCGGCACACCGCAGAAGCACCTCCGCGAAGTTCTCCGAGCCCTCATTGGGTGCGTCCAGGTCCTTGACGAGGCAATTCTGGAAGCGGTAGAGCAGGTGCAGCGGGTGGGACGGATCGGTGTCGTCGACACGCATGTTCTCCTTTGTGCCGAACCGCAGCTCCGTCAGCCGCTCGTCTGTCCGGTAGCCATCGAGCACGAAAGCGGGGTTGCCATAGCCCTTGATGCAGTCGATGAAGGCCTGCGCTGTGTCTGTGGCGCGCGAGAGGGGGCTGGACAACACGCTGATGCGACGGGGGTTCGGCGCAAGGGATGACAGGTAGTCGCAGAGCGATGAAGCCGCCTCCCGCGCCTGGCATGACAGACAGACAGACAGACAGGCAGGCACACACACGTGAGCTGCAAATGAGCGATGCACCGACTGTCAACAGACATGTAGGGTTTCTCACTCACTCACCTGTTGCCTGCCATTGTCATTGAGTGCATTGATTGGGCTCTCGTCTATGTGCCCTTGAAATGTCCTCACGGCGTTTGCAGGCGTCTCGCCATGCCGCACAAACACCAGGTGACAACCGACAGGCCACCCGTCCACCGCCTGCAGATCAGACACACTCACTGGACGGATGGATGCATGTCTATCGTCTTGCAGCAATGAATCAATCACCGTAGCACTCACTCCTCACCCTTGTCTTCCGCCCAGCATCACAGCACAGCAGCCGTCCTCCCTCCTCGTCAATGCACAGGCCCCTCTCCCGCAGCTTCGCCTGCATCTTCGGCAGGTACTCCTCGCCATAGGCCGTCTTCAGGTCCCTGAGGAACTGCCTGTACACCTGCTGATCTCCCTCCTCCATCATGATCGTGCCGCTCGTTCGGCTGTGGATAGACCTGCCGGCGCGAAGAGGGTGGGGCGTCTTTGGGTGCAAAAAGAATGAGACCAGTGATATGGTGACAAGAGGGCCCAGGAATGCTGTCATACAGGCTTGTCGATTCCTCACGACGACAGTGATTGTGGAGAGCGGTTTCACGGATAGAAATGCGAGCTACGCTTAAAGCTCGCATTTGTCCGGGGCGTTCGTTGACCACATTCCTTGTCTGTGTGTGATGATATCGCTCAACATGATAGGAGGCGAGAGCCATTTCCATTTGGAGTGCTGATTTTTTTATCCGGTGGTCGATCCGGACGTGATTTGACGACTTTCCAGCTCCTTCTCCGCTTCTTCAAGGTGAGTTCACCGATAGGTATGACCCGGTTGGCACACCCAGGCAGTCAGTGTCGAGAAATGTGAATGAATTACCGACACCTCCGGCCGATCGACCTGGCCTCGTTTGAGCCTTTCCCATGAGCCAGGGGGTCCAGGCAGGCAGGGCGATGCTCGTGTAGGCCGTTTTGACAGGTAGAGGTGGGTTGTGGCAAGGTTTGAGTGAAGCGGGGCGCATAGCTATGGCAGGCAGAGTCAGTGCAGTTCAGGGACGGCGGTGGTGCGGTGCCTTTTGAGCCGTGTCATCAGGTGTTCGTTCGTGTGCGTTGCATTTGACACGGCTCATGCGTCTGTTCTCACTTTTGTCCTTCTGTTTGTGTGTTGTGTGTCAGCCTGGCCCCAACCGAGCGCAATGAATGAGTCGATGCTGGGAGGTGGCGCATCGTCGTCAGCTGCTGCTGCAGCTGCTGCCGCTGCGCCAGGACCTGCCTTGCCAGTGCCACCGCCCGCACAGCGGCGAAACCGCTCCCGCCCCGCCCCACCGCCTCTCCTGACGGATGACCTGCCGGACGATCTCATGGCTCTGCCACCCTTCCCCAACGCCCCACCGCCACGCATCCCATTTCCACTCGGCCATGGGCTCGACCACCACCCTTTTGACCTCGAGCAGCCCTTCGAGAGGGAGAGGGATAGGGATAGGGAGAGGGAGAGGGACAGGAAGGCCGGTGGGGGTGCGGCAGCAGGGGCCAACAACAACAAGGACATGCCCATTAAGAAGCAGGCCATGAACTGGGCCAAGATGCAGCTCTACTTCCACAAGCTTCTCGTCCTTGATCCTGCGAGTGGTGGTGCTGGGGCGGCGAGTGCGGCGAGTGCGGCGGCGGCGGATGTCAACGGGGCGGCGGAGCAGCGGTTCCTGATTAACACGAATTTGGGAGGGGGAGGGCGGAAGGGCCAAGGTCTCCCGACCAAGGAGGACTTTGAGAGCGCCATCCGGTTCCTGCAGGAGACCAACTCCATGCCTGATGTGAAGGAGTATGCGGACCCCCACTACGAGGACGCCCAGAACGCCCTCACGCCGTTCCAGCAGGTCAGTGGGGGGGGGGGGGGGGGGGGGG